AAAAAATAACAAAGACATAATGCTTCTTTTAAAATCTACCGTATTTAGGCAACAATTCTCCCCTAAACCATGAATCTATTCAGGCTCCTTGTACCTCAATCTGATGACTTCTATGACTACAAGTAGCCATCCTGCTCCTCACCCCACCCCGCCACCCCCACCTAAAATCAGGCTAGGTTTGTGTATGGCGAGACCTCTGGTGGTACAGTGGTTGAGCACTTGGCTTCTAACTAAGTTCTACAGTTCAAACCCATTAGCCATTCTGTAGGAGAAAAATGTAGCAATCTGATTCCACAAAGATTCACAGCCTTGGAAACTCAAGGGAGCAGTTCAGTTCTACTCCGTCCTATAGGATCTCTATGAGTTGGAATCAACTGGATGGCAACAGCTTTGGTGTTTTGTTTTGAAATGTGATCAAGCTGAGGCTGAGAATTTTACCTTCAACTACACTTTTCCTACTCAGAAACACTGCTTGGCAGACAATATCAACATCACATGGAGCTTTTGTTATAAATGCACAGGCTCAGGTCCTATCTGAAACCTCTAGAATAAATCTGCATTTACCAAGATTCCATCATGGAAGTTTGTGCAGTATTGATCTACTGATTACCACCACCACCCCTTCACCCAAACAGAAGGGTCCCAGGTCTAACAGCAGGTTTATTCAAGTTCTCAAGACAGAAAATGGCTACAAGCATCTAGGAGCTTAGGAAACAAAACACAACTCTGTCCTACTCCCAGCATTCCCTTTTATCCATCTCAGACGTTCCCCATTGTTTCTTCCAGGTAAAGGCTTTCACTAGCACTGTAGGGTTATTTCATTAGGCCCTAAAAGATCAATGGAGGCCACACCCAAGAAACCTTTATTAACAACAGTTTAGAAAATTAAGTAAAAGTCTGATATAGACTGTTTTTCCCCCCCTAGTTCTGCCATGGAACAAGCTCAGTCATGCTACTTAGCCCTTCTGAGCATCTTCTCATTTGAAAAGTGTCAACATCAGTTACCTTTGTATAGTATCTGTCACAAGGTATTTGCCTATAAGATGACTGTACAATTTATCATCTAAACCAGGTGTGGAAGTTACATAATTTCATGTCACCTTGATAAATAGAGTGAAGGAACGGAGTTTAGCCTGTCAATCAGGTCACAGCCTGGTGATGCCTCCTTGCGGATATTGTCTTCTCATGAGGTTTCTGGGAACTTCTTTCCTTTCTCCTTGGAGGCAGGGCACTCTCTCCCTCTGCTTCATATTCCTGTTGACAAGCTACATGTAGCTGCGCCGATGGCAGTCAGAACCCTGGAGATACACCTACTGCCACTGGATCCATAAGACTTTGTACCCACTGGCCTGCGACCTTCCTACATTCTGCATCATTGCATGTGACATTACTCTGAAGAGGAATTTATGGACTAGTATCAGACATATGGACTTGATCTGGACAGGGCTGGGCTATTTACTCAATATACAATTGCTCTTTGATATACAGCTCTCTCTTCCATGCACATGAGTGAGTGTCTCTGGATTTGTTTCACTAGTCAACCCAGACTAACACACCAGTATAGTTTTGTTTTTTGCTTTACAATGTTAAGGATAACATTTACTAAGTCTTAAACAGAGTTAGGACAAGACAAAGACAAAAATAATTAGGATGAGGTCATAATGGCACCCAAGGTAAACCAGGATATTTTTGAGAATTAAAGGGGCAACTAATAATCATTTGCGGCAAAGTTCAGTAAGGACTATTTCCAGGCAAATTGTGTACATGGCTACT